CTATGTGACTATAATGTTTAAAAGTTTCCATTAAGAGCTGTTTAATATTTACTAGGGTTCAGTTGATGTTTAATAGTTTGTTTCTAATTTAAAAATCGTAGAGGTTAATGTATGTAATAATTAATAATTAACGATAATATGTCAGAGAAATATAATCGATACTCATGTTAACGTTGTGTAACAGCTATCAACGAACTGTATTGCACAAAAGATAACTTAACAACGATAGTTTTTTATTGGGAAGAATAAGTGGAACGCTTGAAGGGGGGGGGGGGGCTGACACCCTGATCTTACCGCACCGAGTGACACCCACCCTAGTGACGCCACTGACGTATTTTTCTTCTTCTAAATGTACTTGCAGACAAACAGATAGCTTCATATAACTGTAACATAAACCCTTACGATTTATCACTGTACACAAGTAGCATTGAAAACTGTACTATATGTGTACTTCACTTTGCTTGACCGTACCGAGCTGTTCTGGGCTCTAACTAAATGTATCCAGCCGTATTTAAGTTTTTAACTCTACTGACTTGCATCCATTTTGAACTCTACTGGCTTGCATCGAGTCGTACTCGACTCTACCGACTCAGTCCAATCCAGGCAACTCTCCGCTAGGTAACTGCACCGAGCCGTACACATCTCTCATCAAGAGGCGGCCTTAGGAGAGCTCGGGGCCCTGGGTAAGTGTCATTGGCGGGGCCCTTAGTCTAAATATACTGTACCACATCACTCTAACTCCTCTAACGCTGAAGGCCTTATTTTGGCTAGAACTTTGCGTAGGTACTGTACTATTGGCCTTCCACAAATGACATACTGTATTGTAATTGTTCTGCATGAAAGATTTCGCCTTTTAATGTAAATGAACATAACTTAAGGTTCAGAAGCATTTTGCTTGAAGCCAAATTGATGTTATTTAAAAACAAGGTGTGCGATAGGCGCTACATTTGTCCCTTGACGTTCGCAGGTCCGACTTTCACGGAAGTGCTCTACCACTGGTTTTTCAAAAAAAAATGATAAAAAAAAAAAAAAAAAGACTCCGCGTTTTGAGCACAGGTTTTCCCATGTCCACCCGATGTCAATGCATGGTGGCCTATTGGGAAAAAAATGAATACGTCATCGCCAAACTTTCTTAATGGTGATTTTCCGAAAAAACTATGTAGCACATTAACTGGGTCAATCGAGACCATTCGTTATGAATATGTTAATTTTGCGGGCGGTCTCGGGACTTATCTCCCTTCAAAAGTCAGGAAAACACTAGATTTCTTTACTAGAGATCTAGAACTTTGGAGTGGGGGGGGGGGGACGATTTTTTTCCTAACCCTAAGCCTATGCATAAACAAGCGTACAGCGTATATATATATTTTGAATTTGTAAAAAAAAAATCAGTGTTTCTCAAACTTCGGCGAAAAAACAAACAAACAACAAAACATTCTCTCTTGCAAGCGTGTGGTGTGGGGGAGCGCTATAAACTTCCCCATTGGGGTTTGGGGCGGACCTCCGACGCAAAAAGCGTTTTCTTCACTGATGAAACGCATTTTTCTGACCTAAAGCTCATTATTCATCCTATTTTAAAGGACCTTTTGAATAATGTTAAAAATATTCTAATGAATTTATAGGTCCTTACTTCATTGCAAATAAAACCGATTTGTTCCTTGAAAAGATAAGATACCCCACATATTTAGATTAAGGCTTTGAGGATCGCCGCGGAAAGGTAGTAAAGGTTGAAAAAATGTGACCTGGATAACATTATCTCAACCGTGACTCTTTTACTGAAAAATTTCGTTTAAATTCTAACTTTTCCTAAGCAAAGTCTTTCTTAAAATAATTATTATAAATTCATGTAAAATTACATAAGCTCTGTCTGGAAAAGGGGAGGGGCGGTATAGTGATAATGATTTGTCCTCACTCCTTTTTATAATTTCTGCTAATGATTGCATTTTGGCATTGAAGAATAGGGGTGGGGCGACTCGATATAAGAATTTAGTTTATAGCATGTATAAATTAATTGACAGATTTTTTTTATTTTGTAATTTCTTAACTATAATACAAAAGAAAAAGTATTGGTTTGTCCGATGGTAGGAAGGTGATTGCATGTATCGCCCCTCCCACCTGGTACAACTCTTTTTCACTTTATATTTTACTAATCATAAAATTAGAGATTAGAGTATGGTGCGACATAATATACAATGAGTTCACATATCAATACGTAGTTTATATTATATAGATATTCAACTAATTTTGTTCACAAACTATAATTTCTAAATAAAAGTGGGACCGCCCCCCCCCACTCAAGGGGTTTGGATGGGAAGGGCAGTAGAGGTATTCCCCTACTCTACCTCCGAGTGGTCAACAGGGGAACGACATCATATAAGGATCGGTTAAAATATCAATAACAAGTTTTAATCATATAGACATTTAATTGATTTTGTTTAAAAAAAGGGGGAAGTAGGGATAGTGAATGGTTAAGAATATCGCAAATTTCAAAATATAATAATTATTAATACTCGCCAGAAATCGCTTTATAAGCAGTATATAGGAGGTATTTTCTTTTGTAGCTATTAGTGTATGAATTTTTTTTAAAGGGAACTAATAACCATTTTAAAAACAGCAATGTAAAATATAACGCGATTGTTTCCCGCGGCTGTATATACGTTTCGTAATCTCGGATGCTATATATTTTTATTTATATAGGCATACTTTTAATTAGTAAATGCTACATAAATGTAGATGACAAATTTTAATTCTCGAATTTAATATATATGTAATACTTATTTTTGATTTTTTTGGTCTACTGAAAACATTTATATTCTTCCGACAAAGAAAAGATAGACTAAATCATTCAAATTGTAATTAAATATTTTTACACAGCTTAAAAAATTGCATTATATGTAATGGCTCGTGTTAGTGAAACAGTAGAAGCTCATGGATTCAGAGTTTTCTTTCTCATAGATGGGTAGCCAACCAAGGCTAACGAGCCCCTCCTCCCCGAAGCTTACTGGTTTAGGCACCAGTTGCTGGTCTTTGCCCCTTCTCCTGTCTGGGGTAACGGTTCCGCCAGGCTCAGTATCGGAACCACTCGTGAAGACCAGGGGCTGGACTGGTTGTCAAAGGCTGTAGGAGAAGGAAAACTGTGAATCCAAACCTCCGCTGCCTTGCGGCTATACCCAAACACGGGAAAGGCTTCTGGAGACAACCCTGAGGGAAAATCAGGAGCTGGTGACCCTTAGTCAGATTGTGGCACACCGTGCTACAGCCTGGCAGAGCCTGTGCGTTACTGATCACAAACTGTATAGGATATTTCGTTCTTTTAATCATATCAGCTGCTCGGAGAGGGGGGAACTGCTGTGTGGGCGACAACGTTCCGACCATAAACAATGTCCAGGCTTTCATCTCACTTATTCAAAGCCCTAACTCCAAAAACTGGAGAGGACACACCAGCTTCGCCCTTGGCGTCGGCCAAACACGGGAAGTGGCAGTCACCGGTTATAAGCTCAAATACTCAATTGACGTAGAGCTGGGCGCCAGGGGCCACTTCCGCAGAGGGAGGGATCCTAGGATCCCAATGGACAGCTACCACCCGCCTTAAGTTGAGCGACCCCCAGTCAATAAGGTGCTGTCCCATCATGTCTGTCTTCCTCGTTTGGGTACACGAGGATAGGACAAAATCTGAAAAGCAGGCACAAAGCCAATGTACCAGTCGACATGAAGAAAAAAAAGAGGAGCCCCACTCTTAAACTGGGCTAACAAGCCCCTCTCGCCCGAAGCTTACTGAGTAAAAATCAATAATAGCAGGTAATCAGCTTCACTGTATTTGTTCAACTAAAAGAACTAATTAGCAAGAATGTTTATTGGAACATATTTGATGAAAGTTGATGAGGAAGGGATGGCACCCTGAGTTACCCCACCAGGTGCCGACACTGTCTGAGTTACCCCACCAGGTGCCACCGACACTGTCTGAGTTACCCCACCAGGTGCCACCGACACTGTCTGAGTTACCGCACCAGGTGCCACCGACACTGTCTAAGTTACCGCACCAGGTGCCACCGACACTGTCTGGGAGGTTTCCATTCTGTTTTTAAGTGATTAGTTTGATCTCTACTTTACTTCCAGAAGAGTTAGAAGAGTCTTATCAAAGGCGAAGTGTTGTCCTGTTTGCTTTTATGTGAAAAAAAAACGCCTAATGATATTTTACAATTTTTTAAAATTTAAACGATCGAAACAAGACTATGACTTAAATTTGTCTGGTCCATTGGTGATTTTGCTTAAGGTGCTACTTTTGTCAAATGTGAATATTCGTTTGTTATGAATCTCTTTGCTCTATTTTGTATCTCTTCCAGTTTCTTAATGTTTTCTTGAGTTAAGGGGTGCCAAACAGAGGATGAACATTCTATTATTGGCCTAACCAAGGTTAAATAACATTTTAGTTTTATGTTCTTATTTGATTTATAGAAATTTCTTTTAATAAACCCTAATGCTTTGTTGGATTTTTTTTTTATAGTTTCATCAATATGAGGATTTCATGACAGTTTTTCATTTATTATAACACCTAGGTATTTTGCGTCTTTAGTCTGTGTTACTGGTTTACCATGAATAAGATAAGTGGAAATAATTAGTTTTAGTTGTTTTTTTTTGTTACTCTTAATAACTTCCGGTTCGGAAGCCAAGCTCTTTATCACTTTGCCACCGCTTCTACTTTAGATAGTAGGGGCACCGATATTGAATCTTTCCCAATTCAAAAGCTCAGATTTTTATAATCTCAAAGCGCTTGCAAAGTAACTAACCTTAGCTAATTTTTACTTTCTCTCTTCCCCCCCCCTCTCTCTCTTTCTCTCTCATTCTCTTTCTCTCTCTCTCTGTTGCTTTGCATGGTGCCCATTATATTATTATTGAAAACCTTTTTGATCATTTAGCATGTTCATGCCATTTAAACAAATAAATATTTTAAATTAGATTAGTCTGTAAACAATAGTAAAAATAATGAATCATTAAATCAATGACATTTTAAAGACCAGTTATATTTTCCTTGTATTTTTACTCTTCAAAATTTAGATACACAAATGTCAGTCTCTAATTAAATAATATTCAATACCATTTAAGTATTTGAAATTCATGACAGTAGATAAAAATAGTAGATAAAAATGACATTTCTACATTAGAGAAAAATATGTATATGATAAAAACCTTTTTTCTTGTATGTATGTGGAGATTTATATTTAAACAGAAAATATGAAAGAATAAACTACATTACACGTTATACCTAGAGGCATTGGTTTGGGGTGTTTGGTCTATAATTTTTTTTTATAATCTTGCCTTGAAAACTATCTAACTTTTCGACTTTAAGAAGCTTACAATGTTTACAATGTCCGATTTGCAAATATTGATAATGAGGCCCATGATTTTTTACATTCAATTACTTAGCTGCCTAGTGAACCAGAAAAGATATAAATATTAAAACAGAGCAGATAAGCAGATAAAAAGCACTTACCATGTCGGAATACATGCAAATGTATATGTAGAAGACAATATTTTAATTATTAAATATTGCCTTCCTTCTTATACAGCAAATTTTTTTTAAAGATCATTAATACAAAATAATAGCAAAAAAAATAAAATCCGTGTTTCAATCTGCCTCGACCTATGTTTTAATTCAAAGATAGGATTTGTTTTTTCATTATCATTCGCTATTCAGTGTTTCTGATTGGTCGATTCATTACCATTTGGCGATGTCAGAGGTTAACGTGACAATGACCACTGGATTTAAAGTCTGGACAACAGCATCTATTTATAAGAATGTAGACACTTTTTTTTTTGTTAGTAAGAACTACAAGTGACAGAAAGTAATGATTTTGAATCTTAGGTGGAAATTTAATTGCTAATGTTCCTCTGAAGGCTACGTATCGCTTCTAACCTTTAAAAAATGCTTGTTGGTATGGTTAGCATGGGCCTAGCCAGGATTTTTTTCGGGTAGGGTTTGGGGGGATTTTTTCTCGCCCCCTCCATATATATATATATATATATATATAT